AATCACGGCTGTTAGGAAATGAGCAAATTTGCCCATTTTAAAGTTGTATTTATACACTAAACATATTATCTTCTTTAAACCTCTTTGTTCATCAGGTCATACACTTTAAAATGACAGAAAATGTACACTAAGATTAGACACATATTTTTGAGTTGTCAACTTCAACAGGAAGTCATGAATCGAACTAAAATTTCTTCTACCTCACTTTTCCATCTTAGCCATGGAAATTAATGTTTTAAAATATTAGAATAGGGATTTGGATTAATTTCAGGAAGTATGCATTGTAAATATTTTCAAGAAATGCAAATGAACTAATATGATGAAATGGAATTCTTCTTAAAGAAGTATCGAATTCTCATTTTCAATTAACAAAAACAAAAATTAAAGTGATTTTTCTGATGTCATCCTGAAAATAAGTATCTGCACAGGATATGGGATCTTTGCTTTTAGACAATTTGGTATACTGTTCTCTGGGGTACTCAACAACCTTTCAAAAAGAAAACTGCTTGCTTAAACACAACATCTAAATTAGTTAAATAAGACTTGAATCATAACAAAGATAAGGTAAAAAAATAATTTGACTTGTGAAAATTATTGATTTCTTATAACCCTAACCTAAGTATCATTTTTTCAAGTTCAAAAACTTTAAAAAATATTATTATCCAGCTCCTGAGTTAATATTTTTGTACTTGATTAGGTACAGGTTTGCTGACCATTCTGGAGCTCTTATTGGAGCCATAGTACATTTTCATGCTCATACATAATGCTAGTTTTTTGCATTATTATTTCTAATGATAAAACAGGATACACTAATTGTTAATTATAAGAACTATTTAGTCAGGGAAACTTGGTTTTAAATTGTATGTTTTCCAGTTATTCAACTGTATGATGTTGGAAAAGCTATTTAATGTCTCTGGGACTTCATTTCCTTGCCATGTAAAATGAAGATAATTAGATGTATATGAGAGGTAAGTTTAAAAAAATAAATGAGATAAATGTAAAGGTCTCAGCCTGGGGCTTGAGTGTTCGATAAGAGGAAGCTTAAAATAAATTGCAGGAACACCTGTTGAATAGCTAGGTCTATATTCTCCTTAATGTTATTGAAAGTGACATTTCAAATGTGTTTGCTTTGTATAACACTCTAGATTTAACACCTAAGTATTCTTATTCTCTGTAAGTTTTCTTGCAAAGTGACTATGCAGAATTCCTAATCCATAGTTAAGTTCTTTCCTTCCTTTCTTTCTCCTTCCTCCCTCCCTCCTTTCTTCTTTTCTTTTCTTTCTTTCTTTCTTTCTTTCTTTCTTTCTTTCTTTCTTTCTTTCTTTCTTTCTTTCATATATGTATATATGCTCCTACTGATTTCCTACTGACCAATGAGACAATTTAGATTCTAGCCCTCAATAAAACCAAAACTCTTTATTTGAGCTCATGCTGCAATTACATTTTTACTCATACAGTCAATAAAAATTTATTGCATATGAAACATGTCCCAGGCACTTTCCCTTCAACTCTCTGACCTCCTAAGTTAATTGTTTTTTCAAATTCTTAGACTTTTAGCATCTCCACTGGTCATGTATATTCAGCCCATGAAAAGTAGAATACTTCAAGTGATCTTTTCAACTCAAAAATTATGTTTTCAGTGATATAACAAATGGGAGTGAAGAGGACAGCGTACTTACAGGCTGGAGCTTTGCCTCTCTGGGAACATCCTTAAGCAAGACATGTGGCCTGGGGCCTGTCTCCATCACCACACACCTGTCCTTCGAGGACCACACAGCAGATGGCAACACAGAGACAGTAGCTGCTCTCATCACTGGCTCAGTCCTGCATTTACATCACCTTAAGGTATCTGTGAAAATCATTTCTGGATGCTTTACAGTTAAGGATGATATGAGGAAAATTCAAAGGTTTAATAAGCACTCAGAAATGCTAAATGGAGTGGATGCTAAATACTAAATGTTCATTTGCCAAAAGCAGTGTAGCTTCTGGGAAAGAAAAAAAAAAAACAGTCTCAGGGACTAAGATGTTAAAGTGTAATGTAACAGATAATTTGGTAAATAGAATAAGTACCATATCATTCATTCAATCATTGGTGTCTCAACTTGCTTAGTAGAGAGTTATTAACACAGTCATTACCAAATGGATTTCCTCTATTTACAAAGGGCTAGTCTCATGGGCTTGCCCTTTATGCTATTATATCTAAGAATTCTCTGTATTATTTACTCAACTAACAACTTAAAAAACAGATCAATAGTCAAAATATTTTGTTACAGAACTGCTAGTCTCAATAATTTTAGAAGCTCTATGCTTCCTCAACACTCTTCAAAACACCTATACTAAGAATCTGACATCAATGGCAAAAAGACTTTAATGCACATGCCAACACCAAATAATTGGTGGAAGGTGTCTGGAGTAGAGTGTTGTGAAAGACTGTGAAGTTGTGTCCAGACTTTTCAGGAATGAGTGCCCAGGAAGGATCGTGATGTCTGCTATGGGCAACAGACAGGGCTGGATTTATGCCAATTCTGCACAGAAGTCAGGATTATCATATTATATTGTGATCATCTGTTTATATGCCTGTCATCCCCTGGGTATATACTACTGCAGGAGAAGGACTGTATTTTATTTATCTTTGTATCATCAACAGCCAAAGCAGAAGAGTTACTTACTATTTCATTTGATGAATGCTTGAAAGGTAAGAACTCAAGCAATAATGTGGGTGGATTCCTGCTCTTTCTGAAAGTATGATCAAGCATCTCACATGTGATCACAGTAATAAGCATCTTAACATATGATAACTGAACTACATACAACTCACACTATTATGTGCCAATCTCAGCCTACTGATAACCAGTGTTGTGTTATCAGGAGTGTTGTGGCTGGACCTGCCCTTGTGGTTCTTATGATTGCAAGATACCCTCAGTAATAACTATCAGGAAACTTTGAAAAAAAAAAAAAGAATGTGTGTCAGGAAGTATTACTCACAAGTTTTGGGAAGCACATGGCAAACCTGAGACCACACAGTGAGATCATGGCAGGGTATGTGTGGGGAATGAAGAGTAAGGCAAATGGACCTGGGTAGGTCCAGGTTTATAGGGTTCTGCGTTTATAGGGTAATATAAGGTTTATAGGGCTCTGCCTTGTAAGGCCCAGGGTTTCATGAGCTGGCTCTTTATTGGCGAGTTTTAAGCATAAAAGCAGATATTTAAAGTGAAAGAAGAGAAAAAAACCAAGTAGCCCAAGTGGTCAGTTATGGAAATCAACCAAGATCTCTAAACAAGGGTGGGGGGAGAGGGATAGCTCTTCATCTAGTCCTGTGACTAGCAGTGGCTGGCATTGCGTTTATTCAAGATGTCTTTTGAGTACTAGATGCTATTTGAAGTGAAAGTGTCAACAGTCAAAGCTTAAGTCAGACATGGCATTACAAAATAGAAAAACTAACAGTCAGAATTTACATTCCATACACTCTCTTCTATTCAACTCAATCTACCTCCTGCCTTAAAGAAACCAGGAGCTATTTTGATTATTCACTCATCTCTCGTTCTGTTTCTTGGTTTTTTTTTTTTTTAATTCCAGTGTAATTAACAATGTTTCTTTTTTTTTTTTCTGAAATGAACTTGTGACTTCCTAATCAAGTACTTACTATATCTGCATTTCAAATCTGTTGGCTCCTCATACTTACTATTATTCTATAAACACTTCTCTCTTCAGCTCTCTCTCTCTCTCTTCCCCACCCTGCTTCTCATTTTATATTTTAACTGCCTCTTCCAAGGTCAGGGTATCAATAATTTAAAGACTACATTGATAGTTTTATTCATATACACACACATACATACATTTATACATATATATTTAAAATATCAAACTATGAAGGCATCTCACTATAAAAAAAAACATGTATTTAAATATATCCATTTATCGTATAATCTTAGAATTCAAGAAACTTGCAGGTGACTGTCCTTTCAGTAAATAAACTAGCCTCCTCTTTTCTTCCCTCTTTCAATAGCAGTCCATTGTTTTTGCACTGGTGCCACTATTAAGAAGGAAAAAAACTAAGTCTTACTTACTCATTTTCAGCTTGTTAACAATTCCAGAAGAGAAGTTAATTTGAGTATAATGAAGATGTGTGATTCTTCAGAGGTTTGTTAAAGTTACTCTTATCACCATGGATGGAAGTAATTAAGGCTTGATATTTTTTAATGAGATTGAAATAATTAGCTAATAGCACAGAGGGCACCTGGTCCCTGAACAACCACACCAGTCTCTCAATTAGTTTAGTTTAGTTTTGTTTTTCTAAGCATTTACTCATCTGGAGAATGTATACAAGTCTGTGCTGTAGCCTACCGGGCTAAGGAAATTCCAGTCCATTTGAAGAAAGAGCATCCACACAGAAAAAAAAGGAAATAAAAAAAGAGCCATCATCGAATAACCTTGGAGTCATCCTTGGCATTGTCCTCTATATTATGTACCCTGAGGCCTCTGCAATGACCAATTCTTATTGAGTGTTCCTGCAAAATATTTATTTAATTCAACCGCTTCTGTCCAGTTTGGGTGCCAGTAATCTTATTCAAATCTGTTATCTTTAAATTTGCCTCAGGATCCTTTTCTGTTCAGTCTCTGGTCCCTCTAATTCACTTTCACAGTGAGGTATTGCTCTTAAGAAGCTCATTTGATCCTGTTGCTGTCTTGCTGAAATCTCATTAACAGCTTTCCCTTTCTCTGGAGAAAATGTTACAATCCCTTTTCCATCTGGCCTTACCATCCCAATGAGCCTCATCCTGTGTAACTCTTACCTTTGTTCCCTGAGATTCAGCCGCCCTATCCTTGTAGTTTTTGAGCCTACATTTTTTGAGGGTAGGAACATTGTTGCTTTTCCCCCTTATATCCCTCACTGGTGTTGGAACAATAGCTAGTGTGTGATAAGTGTTGGATAAAATGTTTACTAAATATTTTTAAAAATCAGAAAGATAGTGGAAGGCTTGAAAATAAAACTACAGGAATGGAAGACACAGACACTTTTACTGTACTGTACCCAAACCATTACAAACACATCGTCTCAGTTAACGTTACCAATACTTCCTCAGAGCTAGGCAGTTTTGTAGATGATGGTACTGACTTTCACAATATTGAAATAACTTGTCCAAGATCACAATATAGTACCAAATCATAGAGCTAGGATTCAAACCCAGGTTTCTATGACTTGCTCTGCTATTATACAAGAGCTGGGTCATTTTAGTTTTATCCTAAAGGAAATGGGGAGCTAGGCAAGGTGTTTGAGCTAGGGAATAACGTGATAGATATAGCTACAGATAAAAATATACAGGAGTAGCAAGAGTGTACAGGATTCGATTAAACAGAAAGAGATCCACTACAATGGGAGTGGTTAAAAAAACAAATCAATGAACCAGTATTGACATAAATAGTGCCCCAACTAGGATAGCAAAAGGCAGGAAATTTAAAAGTAGGTACAATTTTTTTTTTGCCCTAAATTTTACTTCAATGTATGGTATATTTATGCAAAACTGCTGGCTTTTCTTCCAGGACAAAAGAAGGAAATACTTTTTAAAGAAAATAATCATGTTGTGGAAAACAAGGGTCTGAGTCAAACTCAAACATTTTGTCAAATATATAATGCCATTTGCCTACACCCCAAAAAGTGCTGCAAAGATGAATTTCCAGCCATGCAGCAGGTCTTCTTCTCCACCTGGAATGGAAATCAAGAGTCAAAACCTTAACCAACTGAGTGATCCATCAAGTTGCTGCAAGGAAAGGAAATTATGATTTGGTGTTCTTAATTTCAACAGATAGTGTCGTAGACTCTGGGTCTGGAGTTCTCTCTTGTCCAGCAAGAGAGAGGATGCAGGATAAAAATGCAAGAGAAGCTGATGTCCGGGAGGAGTCAAGAGCCCTGAGTAAAGGGTCCTTGCTCTGTTTTTATTTGGATCATAAGGCTTACAAGTGTGATGGACGTGCACAAAGAGACAATGAAATTGTGAACATTAAGTTATGTGTGTGAGGGAAAGGGGGTTTCAAAGATATGCGGTGTTAGGAGTTGTCAACACAAAACAAAATCCTGGTGGCCGGGCAGATGGTTGTTTACAGCAGGCACGATTCACTGCCTCTGTTTATTTTAACTTGCCTAGAGTATAAGACAGATAGAGCCTGCTACCGTAGGGTCAACAAGGCACCTTTCTTTGGCTAAATAGTTATGCTCTGGGCAACTTTGCCCTGCTGCGGTCTATAGCCCTCTTTACTTGTTTACCTATTCTGGTCCTTCCCTCCTGTGAAAGCAGCTTTCTGTTATTGTACTAAGTTGGGGGGCACTTCCGCCCTGATGACCTAATCTTGATTCCCTAATCTTGGATGCTTTCATCCTGTGGCTTCTTATTTCCTTATGCCTTGTTAACCCATGGGTGCAAGCTCAGGGAATTCCTATGCTTATCCCCCACAAGATAGTCAAGGAAAAAAAAACATGAAAAAAACTGAAAAGAAATAAAACATATAAAAATCAAAAAGTAAGATTCTTTTGGTAGGATATTTGTTGAATAGAATAACCTTGAAGTACTAAGTCACGCTGGTTGGGTCAGTTGTTACAAGGCTCGGGAAATAAGTTTGTGAAGTAAAATCTTCAAAATTCTGATCTAATGGCTTGATACAGCTGAAGAACTTTATGATAAGTCAACCATTCTCTCCAGTTGAAAGATTATATTAAAAGAGAAAGTGCTCATTAGTAGGTATATAATGGTATAGTAAAAATAGTCTTAACAAGAATGAAAGACACAAAAGCTAAGAAAGAGGTATTACAATCTGTCACCTCTACCCAAATATTAAAAAACAAGAAGAACTAGGAAGAAACAATACAATCATCTATATATTCAAGCACCCATCAAAGACCAGGGGGGGAAAGTATCTTCTGTGATGTGTCATGGGAAAGATATAGCAAATGTTATAATTTTCCATTTTGTGAGATCCACAAATCTTTTTTTTTTTAAGTTTTCAAAATTCATTTTGAGAGATAGAGAGAGAGCCTGAGGGAGGGAGTGGCAGAACTCCAAGCAGGCTCTGCACTGTCAGCACATAACCTGATGTAGGGTTTGATCTCAAGAACCATGAGATCATGACCTGAGCCGAAATCAAGAGTCAAAACCCTAACGAACTGAGCCACCCAGGTGCCTCTGAGATCCACAAATCTTTAAAATAAAAGAATGACCCTATTCCTATTACTGAATTCCTTTATTAATAAAAAGGCTTTGAGTTTTTTAAAAAATGTATTTTTAATATTAGGAAATGTTTATGATAACATTAATGAGATAGAATGGACACATACATTTACATACAAAATGTGAAAAATATGTGCTCTGATAATCCATTGCAGGATTAGTTCTCATAGTGAAAATTAGGGACAATTAAAAGTCCAAAGGTAAAAGAATACCAAAATATAGTACATTCCTTGCTACAAAGTCTAGATAGGTAATTGAAAATGAGAAATGATCTGTGAGAATGACAAGGTCTAGAAAAAAAAATAAAACAGAATAAAACATAATTTGTAGTAAGATAGTATTTTATTTTTTTAAATTAACATGTTAAATCTGTGCTTATAATTTAAGTGCTTTGATTGTGATATAATTTTATTATTTTTTAAATTTTTTTAATGTTTATTTAATTTTGAGAGAGACAGAGCATGAGCAGGGGAGGGGCAGAGAGAGAGAGAGGGAGACATAGAGTCTGAAGCAGGTTCCAGGCTCTGAGCTGTCAGCATAGAGCCCGAGTGGTGCTTGAACTCACAAACCTCAAGATCACGAGCTGAGCCAAAGTCAGCACTTAACCAACTGAACCACCCAGGTGCCCTAATGATTGTGATAAGATTTTAAAAACAAGGCATGGCTAACATAATGATAAAGGTGATGTATATGACATGTCTTCCTTTAGTTTAATTGTTTAAATATCCTTCTTTTACTTGTAATAACAGCTTTTATTAAATGTTGACTTTGCTTGTTTCCAGAGAGCTGTGGAAGACCAGGATTATATCTAATGCATTTATGTATCAGTCCCTCAAGAGTTACTGGAGAGTGAGGTTGTTCAGAGGACCCGCCCTGAATGATGCCAGCCTGCCTAAGTTCAAACCCTCTTTGCCACTGACTGGCTATGCAACACTAATTCCTAAAAGTCTTGCTTTCCTAATCTGCTAGAAGGTATAATATCATTACTGACTTCATACGGTTCTTGTGCCCAGTGCACAGAAAGTGGTTAATAAATTTTGAAGGCAACTTAAAACAAATTCTGCATCTTAAAGCTCATTTCACAACCATCCCCAGCACGAACCCTGGAGTGTAGTCTTGAATGTAGTATTTGCTTATTAACTAAATGAGTCAGTGAAAGAAAGGGTTACATTCTGTGGGTGAGTCAGGAAAAAAGTCATGCATCCTTTTAGTAGTATTATGTTAGTGACAATTCTAAGTCAGCCCCTGTGCTAAATGAGGCTATAAGGAAAACAAGATTTAGGAATCCCTATGCTCAAGGATGTAAGAAGCTAATGAGGAAAATGGACAAACAGTAGGTTTCAGTTCAGTGAGGTGAATCATCTGGTAAATCAAGGCATCACGGTCTATGGAAACTCAAGGCAGAGGAAGTAATTGAGCCCAAAAAGGTGTGGTCAGAGATAATTTTTGACCTGAATTTTGAGGCTCAACTGGGTGGAACTGGTCACATTTGGAGCAAGAGAGAGAATGAGAGAAGAAGAAAAGGCCTGGGGTTCAGGAAAACAGGTGCATTAATAGTAATTGTGATGTGCCACTGGAACATCCATGTCAGTGCATCAGGAGCAGGTGGATATGCAAGTTTGGCTGGGATGGAAAAAGGTTTTGTGGCGTTGGAAGGCTTTTATAATCTGAGAAATCTTCTTAGGAAAAGAAAACAACCTTAAATAAAAAGGAGGTACAAGGATGAGTGTTTAATACTTGTAGTGAATTTGAAAGAATAAATCACAATATACCACATTATTTAAAAGATGACAAATAAGGGCCCCTGGGTGGCTTGGTCAGTTGAGCGACCAACTCTTGATTTCGGCTCAGGTCATTATCCCAGGATTGTGGGATTGAACCCCACACTGGGCTCTGTGCTGAGCATTGAGATTGCTTGGGATTCTTTCTGTCTCTCCCTCTGTCCCTCTCCCCAACTGTGCTATACATACATACACACATACATATAATATAATATAAATATCACAAAAGCCAAAAGTAATGTAAACCCTTTATTATAATTACTATGTTGAATGACACCTCCATAATAATTTTTTCTTACAATTTTTGGGTAGGTCCTCTTCGATTAATAAAGAACAACTTCATAATATCACTTTTCTTTGAAAGGATAGGAAGATAATTCACTCTTTCCTCCAGCATATATGCTTGAAATTTATTTTTGTTATAGTGGTTTAGAAATTAGTCTCCAAATCTTTATTGATAACCTGCCTATGTAATTTTCTTGTAGTTTCTTACCCAGGAGGTTCTTCTGTGCCAGGAAACAATCCCCAGAGGAATTCCAATGTTCTCCTCTCACCTGATGTGGCCCCCATTCAGCTTAGACAGGTCCTCTCTCCTCTATGAGCCCGGGAATGGGGGAAGGCAGAGAAAATGGCCATGAATCTGATGGTTTTATGTGTTCCAAGCAAGAAGCAGAGCATTATCTTTTTCTTTTTTTTAAATATTTATTTATTTTTGAGACAGGAAAAGATAGAGCATGAATGGGGGAGGGTCAGAGAGTGCGAGACACAGAATCTAAAGCAGGCTCCAGGCTCTGAGCTGTCAGCACACAGCCTGACGCGGGGCTCGAACTCATGAACTGTGAGATCATGACCTCAGCCGAAGTCAGATGCCCAACTGACTGAGCCACCCAGGCGCCACATCATTATCTTTTTCTAACCTACTCCTTGGGTTCAAACTAGGGCCCAGAAGTTTGACTAGCTCTCCCAAAGACTGGAGGTCACTGGGTGTCAGAGGAAGGCAGAGGGTATTTGAAGGGCAGGCAACCCAGAAGTTTACCCACAGCCACAGGATCAACACCAGGGCAAAGAATGACCCAGACTGGGGAAGCTGTCCATGATTCAGGCTTATAACTGGAGCTTCACTATCCTTTCTATATCTGGACAAGAACACATGGAGACCTAGAAGGGGTTCTGGAAGGAAAGGAGCTCTACAGCTAAAGTTTTATTAACTATATTTCTGGGTTCTGGAGTTTAGATGGTAGAGCACTAGTTCCGAAGGTTTATGGAAAAAGTAAGATACAATTTCTGTCTTGAAGGAGCTGATATTCTCATTGGCAAATCTACCTTGTACACTTGCATATAGAAAAGACTGTGATTTTGCACAGGCAGCTATTTATAAAAGTTAAATAAATGTCACAAACAATCAATGCTGTAGAGAGGAGAGAACTATTGATTCACATTGGGTGGGCAGAGAAGGCTTCAGAGGGAAAATGACATGTTAATAAAACTTTGAACCACCAACAGAATTTATGTAAACATTGGCAGTTGAAAAATCATTGGAACTCTGAAAAACAATGAAAGTAGGAAAAAGCGTGAAAGTAGGAATCCAAAGTGCAAAGTACAATTCCAAGGAGCTTTTCAGGAGTCACCAAGAAAAAAGGTTATTGGGACGTTGCCAGTATTTATGAAGAAATGGTCGTATAAACTACCGTCACACGTGAAATACAGTTTGCTAAAATTTCATCTTCAGGCCAAGCAGAAAAACAAAGGAAATGATTTCCTTTCCTTGATAGAAGACAGAAAAGACACTGATTTATAGAAGCAGAAGAAAGAAATACAAAGTCAAGCATCCCTGTAGTAAATAAACCTAGAATGTTGGCTGTGAAAGTTATCGTTCCTTTCTGGTGAGTGCGATTTGTAGCCTCAAACCCTTAGAACATCCTGAAAAAGAAAGAAACTGCACATCCCTTGTGGGACCTAAATAACAATGAGGTTGAAAAAATAGTAAGTGTTGTTCCCTGGATGCCTAGCTGGATTGCAAAATAAAATCGTGGAACTGCATTAACCCCGTTATCTCCATTTCCAAGCTGTTCAAAAACAGAGGGCTGGATGATATGGATTTGCATATTCAGTGCAATCGTATTGAAACAGGAATAATAGCTATTCAAATATATAGAGACAATCTTCCCTCAAATTACAAATTTAAAATGGAAAACAAGACAGTATAAGTAGATTTGTGGAAAAGAAATAGAGTTAATGCCAACATGAGCTTTGTTTTCTCCAAACACTCCAAAATTCTAGCATTCAAATTTCATCACATCATCCATGACTTCACTAGCAAGATTCATTTTTTTCTTCCATGCATCAAATTTAAATCTGTGAAATCTGAAGTTGAAAAAGTGCTCTCTCTTAAAAGAAAACAACTGTCTCTGTCTTATTAAACATCCCAAAACTTTTCCTTCAGAGCTAAAACTTCTAAAGTAGGATTACTCATCAAAAGCATTTCATACATCTATGTGCAATAAAGATGTTACTATTTTGATCTTCTCCCTCACTCCATGCCCCGTGACTTGCCCAGCCTCAGGAAAAGAAGTCTGGACCCATTACTTAAATACCCCATTAAAAATGTACTTTCAAGCCCAAATGCAAATGTCAATACTTATCATTACATATTACATTTTCTGATGGTCTCTTAAATACACATGTGTAAAAAAAAAAAAAAAAAACACGGACACACACACAAAATTTTTTCTTATAAACGTTCTTCTTATAAAAATTGTAGTTAACATTTACTGAGTGTTTACTATGTCAGATAATTTGCTAAATGTTTGACATGTCTAATTTTATTTAGTGCTCATAATAGCCTTATGAGCTAGACATCATGACTTTCTGTGTGTTATAGGTAAATTGAGATATAGTGAGGTTAAGAAAAATAAACCCAGTCAAAATGGATGCAAGGGACTGTGTGCTTACCCTCATAGAAATGTTTGCAGGAAGGGTACTTTATGGAAGCACAATACGTCTTAATTAAATTGAAATTCTAGGACATTTAAGGACTTCTTTATACAAAGACTTCATTTTTTATGGAAAACAAGAAAATAGGTTTTTAAAATAATTATAAGTATGGCCTCCTATCCCCAATTCATTTCTCAAAAAAAACCCAAAAGCTTTATCTGATCTATACTTACTAATGTCTAACATGTGCAGATTATGCGGTGTTAGGGAATCATGGACACCATGATCTAAGGAATAAAGAGGCCCAGAACCCCTAAGAGGTCCCATGAGTAAGTTCTAAGAAGGACAGGACCTCCCTGAAATTACTTGCAAAGGTTGGAGCATATGTGGATACACATGCTTTTCTGACTTGGGGTTCATAACTTTCATCACTTCTTCCAAGGCTCAGTGACAGCCCAAGTTGTTAATCACCCCTGTCCTGAAGGAAATGGATCACAAAAGTCTGCTTTTCAGTTAGGCCTCTTAGAATTCCCAGCTTGAGTGAGTCCTCTGTCCACACAAACCCCAAAGAACTTACTAAAATCCAGAATGCTCATGCCTGTGGAAGACTGAAATTCTACCCTGTTGAAAAGTGTAAGTTTTTTCAGAGTCCATGCTGTATAAACTAGGATACCAGAATCTGAGTCCGGCCGTCTCTAGCACTCTTGCCACCATGCACCATGGAGACTCAGCAAACTCAACATCTACATTATTGGAGATGGAGTGACAGGAAAACCATGGACATCAGCAGAGACAACTTGCGTGTTTTTGTTTACCTTTACTTCAGAGATCAATTCAGGGTCAAATCCTTCCTTGTTGGAAGATCAGTGTTAAAGAAAAGTTGAGAGAATTACCTATAATGTATGTTTTTCTTTAATGAGATTTATTTTCAGTCCTTAGGGACAGAGATAACAGTTTCAATGTGTTTAAAATTTTGCCGTATTATATTGAAATTATTCTTTCACTCACCATTATTCTTGTATTTATTTAGTATGTTGGTCACCATGTGCTAAAATAGTTTTTCAAAGATGAATTGCATGGGGATCAGGGCCCAGTCCCAACCTGCTTCCTTAGGGGGTGGGTAAGGAGCAATTGGGTGATGCTGTTTTAAACCAAACTATCTGGGGCGCTGGGTGGCTCAGTTGGTTAAGTGTCGGACTCTTGGTTTTGGCTCAGGTCATGACCTGAAGGTTCATGGATTCAAGCCTCGCATTGGGCTATGTGCTGACTGTGTGGAGCCTGCTTGGGATTTTTTCTCACTCCTTCTCTCTCTGGCCCTCCCCTGCTAGTTCTCTCTCTCAAAAATAAATAAACACACTTTAAACCTAGTTACCTAGAATCCATTTCTACATTTATACCTCTCTGACTCTCTCCTTCCTTCTTGCCTCTTTCATGTCAAAGTAAACAGAAAATGTCAGAAGCAGTAGTAGGAGGCTTAGCATAGAAATATGCAAATCTCTTTTGAAGTACATCTATTAATCTCCCTGGTTAGGAAGTCTCACTAGAAGGATTAAATCCACAGCTCAGAAGCATTGTTTGGGGTACTTGAAATAAATGGAACATTACATATGAAAATGGTCATGGACACATTTTTAGTAGCTTGCTAATTCTATCTATCATGAGACACTTTATTAAAGTCAGGCTTTTTGAAGAGGTTTCACAAAATGCAATATTACTTCTCCTTGAAAGGAAAAATATTCCTATCCATCTCTTCCCCTAATTTATAGCTGTGTAAAAACCAAAGCAACATATAAAACATCTACTATTTAAAAGTCTTCAATGGCTTTCTTTAGTCTGCAGGTCTCTAGAAGTACATATAAGGCTCTAGTTCCCACACTTCAGACTAATGGCTCTATTCTGTCCTACTCTTTCCCAAGGGAAGAGGAGTCTGTGAGGTCAAGTGGAGAAGACAATCTGGCACCATGTAGATCACTCTCAGGATTTCTGGGTTAATTTGTTGACTAAATGCCCCTGAACTTACTTCCAGGACCTGCAATGGCCTCTTCCAAGTTTCGTTCTCCTAAGAGTGAACTGTGTCACCAATAAGTATATCTCTAGTCCCGGTGAATGCTTAAGAAGTTGCTGTTTGTGGAGATGGGGCAAAGCTGTGGGCTGGAGTGTCCACATACACGTACAACAGGTCTGCCTTGGTGCAAAGTACAATCAGGTGTAGAAAACAAACAAAAAATAAATAAAAATAAAAATAAAACAACACAAAAACAAAAACAAGGGTAAATTGTGGACCAGCTCTTTTGTTGTTTGGCCATTCTGTTGAAACCCAATAAGGCCAACATTTCTGGGTAATAGCCTGATCTTCCAGGTCAGTATGAAAGTATATAGGGCATGTAGGAGGATACATATTTTATTTCATTGATTTAAAACTTCTAAAATTTTCAACACAGGATAAATGGACCTCCATGTGTACTCTTTCTCTGGGTCCCATTTAAGAGGAGGTTGCTTCCTAGGGCACCTGGGTGGCTCGGTTAAGCAACCGACTTTTGATTTCAGCTCATGTTATGATCTCACTATTGTGTAATTGAGCCCCTGTTTGGGATTCTGTCTCTCCCTCTCTCTGCTCCTCTCTCTCTCTCTCTCTCAAAATAAATAACTTAAAAAAAAGGGGGGGGGGTAGGTTGCTTCCTGATCAAACTCCGACTTTCTTCCCAGTACCATT